TCTTGAGAGGTCACCTGCGCTGAGGCAGGACCATGTGAACCTAGACCAGCCCTGAAAGGGGTTTGTCCAGCCTGGCTGTAGAAACCTCAGTGAGCCATAACGCCGGGTGAACAGGGAACAGAGGTAGGCCCAGGCCGGGATGCCTGATCCAACCCTGCTCCAGGTCAGCCCCATCTCCTCGCCAAGTCACTTCGCTTCCTGATGTTTGAGCCTGTCAGGATTTCTCCTGCCTTCGCCATGGTCTTGGGTCTCCCCCGGCAATTCGTGCGCACTCCCTCAGACAGCGTCCAAGGGCAGAGTCTCCCGGACGCGGCCGAGGAGCCTTCGCCGGGCGGGATGCCCCTAGCCGCAGGCCCAGCTGCTGCGCAGCGGCTAATGTCTGAATGGAGTAGGGGTAAAATCCTGGGCTGACCGAGCTCCCCCGGGCTTCGCCGGGGCCTGGGTTTCGCTCATCTTAGCGCACCCAAGAAGGGCTGCAGCGGGTCAGCATCGTGGGAGGTGGGCCGGGCGGCAGTCCGGCAGTGGGGCCGCAGCCTGCTAGGTTTTCGCATGCTCGTTCCGAGCTATCCATGCGGCCAGGGAGTGATGTGGCTCCGACGCTGGCACACCCACCCTGCCAGGGCGGTTCTCTGTAGCGGCTGCCGGGGGGGGGGAAAGAGGCAGCAGACTGGCTCTTAAGCCCAGCAGCAGTTCAGTGGCTGCAATAGCTCCTGTACCAGCCTTGAAACCAGCCCTGCTCAGGCCTTGCCTCACCCTCGGTAACCCAGTCCTGACCCTGGGTCCCAGCCTCTGACCCCAGCTCTGATGCTGGGCTCCGAGTCCTGGCTACCGACTCCCCCTCTGCCCTGGCTCCTGCTCCAACTGCAAGGCATGCCCCCCCACCCCAGTTCTGGGCCCCTCCCTGCCCTGTGCTCCAGCTGCCCCTCTGGGGGAGCCTGCTGGGGCTCGGTGGAGGGTTTGGGCCGGGCGGGGGAGGGAAGGACCGGGCAGGTGATGCAAAGGGTGCTCTCTCTTTAACTCAGAAAACCACGAGCTCACCAGATCGCTGACTAGTGGGAGGGATTTGCGTCCAGGCTTAATATCAGGCATGCTGTCAATGCAACGCAGAAACTTTACCGCCGCTCCCCTGCGGTACAAACCAGCCAGCCAGCACCACAGAAAAGAGAACAGAAACACAGCCATGTTAAACAGAGCGAGCGAGGCAACGAGGCAAAGAGTGCCTGAGCCGGATTAAAGGAGGAGGGGGCCACTGACGGGCAAGCGGGGAGGCTGAGAGAGGCCCCCTTGCCCGAGTGGCAGCCCCACCAGCCCTTTGGTTAACCCGGCTCGGGCCAGATCCGCGGCGCACTCCAGCGGGGGCAGAGCAGACAAGCCAGGGAAGCCAGCGGCGTTAGGAGGAGCCTCACCAAATCGCTAACTAAGGGGATTGGCTTTCTCTTTCGTATGTCGGGCATGCTGTCAATAATGATCAGACCGCCGCCAGGCCTGGAAGAGAGACAAGAGTCAGAGGGGGCGGGACAGGGAGACCGATGGAGACACCCACGCACACAGGGGCCTGTGCTCTGCCCAGCGCCCGGCAGCTGTTGCGGGCTGCCTGCCAGCGGAGATGCTCCGTGGCTACCGTGGGCCCCTGCCCTACCTGCGTCCCCGCCCTGCAGGGGGGACAGCGGATGGGTCAATGTAGTGGTGGGTCCATTGGCCCCGGCTGCCCCACACCCTGCCCCAAGCCCCCTTCGAGCCACAGAGTTGAAGGCCAGAAGGGACCGCCCGATCAGCCCGACAGATTTCCTGTAGATCACAGCACCAGATCCCACCCAGCTGCCCCCGCATTCAGCCCATCTGTTGTGCCCATTCCTGCCCAGGCAAAGGGGAAC